GTCTATAGGTCAGGGAGGGGTCTGTGTGGGTCAGGGAGGGGTCTGTGTGGGTCAGGGAGGGGTCTGTGGGTCAGGGTCGTCTGAGGAGGAAGCAGATGAAGGGATTTGCGCACGGGAACTTTTATTTAAGATTTAAGTTTTTTTTTTTATTTCAAAGGTCCTCATGGCTCAGCAGCAGAAGCATAAATATTATTGTTAAGAAAGCTGATGATAAAGTTGAATAAAAATCTAAGTCTGATGAAGGTAAATTAAATCTCTGACAGTGATCATTACACAGTGTGGCTCTAATTCACCACTTCACCATCTGTGTCGCAGTTTCACGTCTCCAAAATGAGCGTACGCATGGGTCAGAGCTGTGAGGCACCGCACATTTTCACATCAAGTTTGGATTTTATAAATCACAACCTTGTCATAAAAAGTGGCGTACGCAAGTTTCTGGGCTCATAATGTGCGTACGCCAGTTTTACAAATCCGACCCCTGATGTGTTTGTTTTAAAGTGACTTGGCCTGTTGTCACAGACATAAACAATTCAGGCCAAGTCACGTGATCGTTCAAAATTCTAACGTGCAATATATCATTAATTATAGCAGCACAAACAGCCGTTTCAATGGCACAAACCTGCTCAAACAAAGCACTACAAAATTCAACTAATTTGGTTCATTTTTGATTCATTTTGGAGCGAGCGGGTGGGATGGTGACCACTGAATGACCCTTATAAATAATCTTTAATATATAAAAAACCAAATAGCAGCACAAACGACAATTTCAAGTGCACAAACACACACAAACGAAGCACTAACCACTCCTATTTGCCTTTTTTTTCTGTGGTTCATTTTTTGGGAGGGGTTGGCTTCACTCAGCTGATTCATCTTAAACTTTCCTTTAGGATCATCGATGAGATTTTTCATAAATATGAAATATTTTATTTTTTATTTTTGAAATTGAAGAAGCTGTAAATCCGCCAGTACACCTAACTATAAAATAATTGATTATATCTTTGAAACCTCAGGTGAGAAGGTCGCTGCTGCTCATTCACAAACAACAACCATCATCATCATCATCATCATCATCATCTCTGCCACCAGTATTTCCACTCCAGTTGTGAAAATGGAAAGAAAAATGTGACATCATCATCAGCGTCATTCTAAACACACAAAACTATAAACATGTCGACTGAAACATGTTTCCTCCACTGAAACAGGAGAAATGCTCCACACAGGTTCTGATTGGGAATGAGCTGCAGCAGAGGGATGTGTGGGCGCTCACACACACACACACACACACTCATCAGTGACTCAGCGAGGTGACTGCTGTTTGTGTCGTCTTGTCGCTTTCTGTTGCTATGAAGCCCGGGGGGCGTCCTGCATGATGTCAGCAACATGTCCGCTTCCACTTTGGCCTTATTATTTTAATCTGAGAGTGGCTTACATCATATCCGCCTGCTTGTGTGTGTGTGTGTGTGTGTGTGTGTGTGTGTGTGTGTGTG